CTGACGTCTCTCTCCGAGGCGTCTGCAATGAGGGTGCGATAATCCACCAAATAATAGCGACATTAATAACAAATATGAAATAATACGACCTGCGTGTGCCGCGTTTCTCGTGACTTCAGCCAAATTCTTCATACAGCAATCTCTTCCTCGTGGGAGGCGACGTCTTCTCTCTTCTAGCGATAGGTGAGGCGGCCGAACACAAGAATACAGCGTAGCCACCGGCTCTGATCGTAAATTACCGGCAAAATCCGAGCTCAGGATCGTCTTAATATTAACTAAAACTTAACTAAATAGCGACAAGAAGAAAAAAAGAAAAATAATACAATAATCGCAAGAAAAAAAATAAAATTAAGTAGTACAATAATCGCAAAAAGGAAATAAGAATAATAAATAATGTCGCACATTCGCTTGTGCGCTCGCCCGTTGACCCTGAAGGACCCAGGATCTCGCATTATGCTGTTTTTCTGGGTGACTGACAAAATGTCATGTCACAATATATATAAAAATATTTTTTTGAATATATAAGTAGATACATGTATAATGTATGTATATAATACGGCGCCGATCGACCCGCCGCCAGCGCCGCCGCCGCCGTGGACAAGAACAATCGGCGCCCGCCGCCGATATTTATAACATCGGCGCACAGCTCTAGTTAAAATGAATCTTTTTCAATCCGAATACGTTTTTATTCACTTATAGGAATTGCATGGAGCATATTTGTATACCTTTCAATCTAAAAATAATATCATAGCTTTTTCAGTGCGTTTGTGACCATAGTGAATACTGTACAATTCAAAATTTTTAATAGAAAACGCAGTTTTTCAATCCAGTTGCATCCAATTGAATCCAATTGAATCCAAAAAAAAGTTTTTGCTGTTTAAAACACGAATTCGAATAGACAAAATGTATAATAATATATTACAACATATGTTTTATTATATTTTGAAAATGAAAAAAGTGTCTATTTCTTTATATAATATTTAAAAAAAAGTATGACAATTTTAAATTTATTAATTAAAAATTGTTGTTCACAGCGCGCACGAGCGCGTCGAAAACAGCAATTTTCAATTAATTAATTTAACATTGTCATGCTATGTACCTTTTAAGATATCTACAATACATTTTTCAAGATATCTAAAAGATATCTATTAGATATCTTTCAAGCATTTCAAACATCGTCGCCGCATATCTAAAAGATTTCTTTTAGATATCTTTAAATTCGATTAAAGATATCTTTAAGATATCTCTAGATGTATAAAAGACATCTCTAAAGGTTGCATGAGACATCTTTTAAATCCCTAAAAGATGTCTTTTCGTAAAAAATGAAAGATATCTCAAGACAAGGCAAGATATCTTTTAGAAATATAAAAGATATCTTTTTGTCTATGTGGGGTAACGCTTTAAAAAAAAAACAAGAAATAACGATATTAAAATACAATATCAAAAAGAAGCAACGAAATAAAAGATGTTAATATTTATTGAATTATTCTATGAATTAAAAAAGAGAAACGTTTTAACTTTTACATAAGTCCTCTTTAATCTCCTTGATATAAGTATATAACAATAATATAAATTATAACAATAAAACAAAAATAATATGGTTATCAGTCAAATTATTGTCCATCAAGTCAGAAAGTAAAAAGTATGAAAATTGTTTCTCAAGCCGCGCGCGCGCGCGCGGCGAAACAAGAAAATTATCTGCATCGTAATTCTAAATAAAACATTGATGCATATTAGGATATAAGTTGAAAACTATATAAATTATAAAACTGAAAATATATATTAAATTTACGGCAAATTAGATGCTATGTGCAATTTTCTTCCTTCAAGTGAAATAATATAAATTAAGTAAATGATCTGTACTTTACGACCGTTGTCCTAAGAATAAAAGAAAATAAACTTCAGATGTTTGAAATGACAAGTAATGTTTATCTATTATTGAGGATAAAATGACCCTAACAAGTAATCGTATGCTTTGTCTAATTTTTCCATGTCTCTTTGTGCATTAATCCTATTCTTTTGATTTATATAGTTTTCAAGTTTATTTCTTAATATGCATCAATGTTTTATTTAGAATTATGATGCAGATAATTTTCTTGATTTGTGTTGTGTATGTGGCTTGAGAAACAATTTTCATACTTTCTACTTTCTGACTTGATGGATAATAATTTGACTGATTAACCATATTATTTTCGTTTTATTGCTACAATTTATATTATTGTTAGATATATATTATATCAAGGAGATTGAAGAAAACTTATCTAAAAGTCGAAACGTTCCTTTTTTTTAATTTATAGAATAATTCAATAAATATTATTATTATCTTTTATTTCGTTGTTTGTTTTCAATACCGTATTTTAATATCGTTATTTGTTTATCATTTTATTTGCTGCACATATATGTATCTACTGTTCCTACTCTTTTCAGTAGGCAACTGTTTTTAAGAAATATTAAATATAATAAACATCTTTATATAGAAATAAATACTGTTGTCGAAGAATATTAATAATATAGTGCGTTTTAAGATCGACGATTGTTTGGCGCGCAATTTGGGGGGGGAAGGGACTACATATATTACTTTGGATAAATATTGCAAGGAATATTACTACGTCGACCCGCCATCAGAGGTCTATCGATATACGCAAATTCTCGCAAGTGCTTTGATATGCGTGTTTATCTCTTCATATAGAATCTCGATTGAATTTCCTTAGGCATCTAAGGTAGGTTTCCACTACAATGCCTTACTGATGAGTCCAGTAGTGGAAGCTGGGACGAAACGCCATAATTACGTGATATTCTTCGCAATATATTAGATTAATTTAATAGATTTTAACGAATTTATTGGCTTATTGCCCTTATCTCTTTATATTAGTTTTTCAAGCCTTATTTCAAACAATTTTCAAACAATTTAATAATATATGTACTCATAAAATATTAATAAAAATTGTTTTGTCTAGTCACTGACAAAATATTTACTAAAAGCATTCTAAAAGTAAATCAAAAGTCTTTACATTTATGTACAAATATTTGCAGTACGTATTAATACTAGGATTATTCACACAGTGCATCAAAAGTTTATTTTAAATCTTACTCTATGCGTTTGTTTTCAGAACAAAAATCAGATTCTGCAGATGCTGCGCAAGCAGAGTGCAATAGAATAAAAGAAGAATACACGAGCATTAACAAAACAGCCAGGCGTTTTATTAAGAACTTTAATTCATACATACATATATAAGCTAGTCCGGGCGCCGAACCTACAATCCGTGGCCATCTCAGGTCCCCGCCTGCACCCAAGTTTTTTAGACGTATTTTTGGTCGCTGAATCCGAATTTCGAGGGTGCTCGGCCGGAAAAGTGGGCAAAAAAAAGTTATAAACAAAGTAATTGTTTAAAAGGCCATAGCTCCGAAGTGAAACATCGTACCAAGTTCAAACTGGGTTCAAATTTTTCATTTTTTTATTTAGAAAGTTTTTTCTTAATATACCTTTACAGCTACACTCCATAGTTTTCGAGATATCGTCGAAAAACGCATTTTGATGCGCCATTTCACCTACGGCGCGCTCGGGCAAGCGCGCGCCGCCTCCCCTTTTTGCGTTATCCATTTTCCTGCATGCGTGGTAAGTATTCTATAAATATGCTTATGATTTTGTTTAAATATTAAAAAATTTATTTAATAAAATCCTAATGTTTCTTATAATAAACAGAAAAACAATGAAAAATTATTGAACAATCAATTAAGTATAATACATTTTATGCATTATTTTTGCATGTGTTGTTTTTTTTACAAGCGCAAAACGAACAACAAGGCACCATTGCTGCAACACAATAACAACTTTTTGTTTTGCAAACTTTGCATGTACAACTTGGAATAAGTTCATCTATCGGTGGCCAAAAAATTGTTACTTTTTTAGATAACAACATGTCGTCTTCTATTTGAAAACCGAATTCGGTGGGATTTAGTAGCATAAAATGTTCGTTTAAGCAGTTAATTTGATTTACGACTACATAAAATGCTCTTAATATATGCAATCGGATGGAAGCGCTTGTTGGAGGTAAGTCTTCAATTTTTGATGCCGAATGATGATAAAGCCAGAGTCGTAATTGATTAAATTTTGTACAATTACTATTTCTTCTTAAGACTTTGACTAAATATTGCTCAGCTAAATCGATTGACCTCTCTATATTAAGATGAGAAAGATCTAACAAATATTTAAAAAATGAACATTAAAAAGGTTTAGAATAAAATGTATTTTTCTTTAAAACATAATATATGAAGTAAAATTACCTTTTCCGAAATTCTCAAGATACATCTTTGGATCAGCTTGCAAAGCTGATAATTTGGTCCCTACTTTACTAGTGTAATCAGCACCTGTGGTGAAGGGCTGGTAACACTGAACATATGTCGTCATACTTAGTCGCAAGAGCGTGTATAGGAATATTTCTAGTGGTGCTTGAAACACCTGCCTGTACCCACAAAGTCTAGAAAACATAAAATATAATATAAGTATTCTATACAGAAATTAATCGTATAGGCTGTGTACATGAAACTGATATGTGTTAGAAGTGAGGCTGTATTGTTATGTACATGTAGACCGCCAGCATCCTCAGTTTGGGCAGTTGAAACGTTGGGTAAAATTTTAGAGTGTATATATACAGGTACACAACTTTACTTTTAGCATGTGTCAGTTGTCGCACATAGTCTATAAACACCTTCAAACCTTTTTCTCACCTTCAAACCGTTTTCTTTGAAAGTGTTCCAAAAATACAATCCTAGCACGATTACGTCGGTATCAGAAGAAATTAAATATATGTTTTCAAATCCGTGCTGCGATGCATGGTTTATATGCAATATAATTTTAACGTCAGCTTCTTCAACAGAAGTTTGTTGCAAAGAATCCAAAAAAGCGTACGACTGGTGATTAGAATCATTCAAATTAATTGCTGTGCATAAATCATTTATTACACTGAATATCAGTTCTATTCCTGCAAAAGAATTTTTATTTTCTTGGATGTACGTTTTTAAAAACTTCTGCAATAAAATCTTGTTTTGAGACGAAGACCAAAATTTTTCTTGTTGTTTTGGAAGCGGGGTATTTTTAGGTAATATCGTGATAAACTATAGACTTCGATTTTCGCCTACGCTGACGCTCGCTGGATTTTATTGATTGCAAAAAATACGAATCAAATACTAAATCAATTCTAGTAGTATTTTGATAACTCTTCGACTTCATATATTTACAGAATGCAGAAGCAACATCTTTGAATGTTTTCAAATTTTTCCAAGAAATAATTCGCATAACTAACATTACGTCTATTACTAAACACATCTCTGATTCTATATTCATTGATTCCCCAGTATTATCAAAATTTTTTTCTAACTCTCTGATTAAAGAACTTTTATTATTTTGTTGGACTCTTGCTGGTGTACACGATATGATTATGAACTTAATTATGCGAGTGAGATTAAACATTTATATCAAACAATTTTTATATTTATATACATATTTATTTTGCGTTTATAATTTTATAATACAATAGTTTGTACATTGTTAACGATCTTGCGTTTTTAACATTGAAAATGACCTAATGAAGGTCGAAACGTTTGTTTTTATATTTTATTAAACTTTATATTTATTTATTTTTAATTAATGACAGTTTATTGCTAAGACCTTTATATTTTAACTAATGTTGGCTCGTAGCCCTGTTTTGTATTAATTATTTTTTATTATTTTCTTTTTTAAGCAATCCGGCGTTATCAAACAGCTGATTTTCAGTAGTTAAATCGTAAGCTAATAACTTATCTAATGGGAATTGTCGTTTATTAGCTAAGGCTACTGTTTGATGAATGTTGGCACTAGATTTTTTCTTTTTTGTTGGATTTCGATTTTGGTACGGTTTGAAATGATGGTAAATTGTTTCTGGATATAGTTGCAGAAAGTGCTATCGATTTATTTAAAAAACGCTCCTCTTGAAACTTTTTATATAAAATAGTAGTAGTAGTAGTAGTTAGTTGCAGGTGGTTTTTATTAGCCCATTTACGCGACCTAGATCCGTGGGGTTCCTTTGTCGCTCCCTGCTTTTTCCATAGGTCATTCAGTCAATCCCAGCCTCGTGTCGTTTACCAGACTTATTAGACTGCTGACCTTCGCATTTTCAAAATCCTTGGGTGTCATAAACATATGTCCCCAGGATTTGTACCTTTTACAAGCGAGTGCAGGGCATCGGCACAATAAGTGCAGGTTGTCCTCGCTTTCTTCTCCACATAGCCGGTATTCTTTCTGCTCCGCTAGTCTTAGATTGAATAAATGTGCTCTGAGGGGCAAGTGTCCTGTCAGTAGGCCTATGCCACTTCTCAGTTTAGTCTTTCCCATAGCCAGCAACTCTCTAGTTCTTGCTAGGTTTGGAGATCTCATGAGTTGTTTGGCTCGTTTACAGCCCTCTGCCCCCTTCCAGGAGTTCGAGTGCTCCCGTTCAAGCCATTCTTTGATTATTTTCGTTCCTGCTGAAAATGGGACTCCGACGATCCTTTCAGCCGGGGCCTTCTCAGTACCCTGTTTTGCCAGCTCGTCCGTTCCCTCATTTCCAGGTATCCCCTGATGTCCAGGGACCCATACCAGGGTTACTTTGTTAGTTGCCCCTAGTGTTGTGAGTGCTTGCATGCAGTCCCATACCACAGATGATTCTGTGGAGGTTCTTGCAAGTGCTTCGATAGCTGCTCTGCTATCAGTATAAATATTTATTTGTTTTCTGCTTTTCCCCTTTAGCAGGAGTTCCGCACATTTCTGGATGGCCAGCACTTCAGCTTGAAACACTGTGGCCAGCTCACCCATTGGTATGCTTACCTTGTGGTTGATATTGGGCCCATAAATACCTGCCCCATATCGTCCGTTTGCTCCCGATCCATCCGTGAACCAAGTGTCCACATCTGGATTGGCTTTATAGTCATGCTTGCTCCAGTCCTCCCTAGTCGGTATTTGAACTTTGAAATTCTTCACCAACTGATGTCTTCTGGGGATCCTGTCTTGTTTTAGATTGAAAGGGTGTCTGTCAGAAAGTCCCAGTCTTGTGTGACCGGTCCTGGTTTCCTTCCACTCACCCTGACATCTTAATCTGTATGCTGTTTGCCTGGCTGTGTATTTAATCACCTGGTTTAGGGGCGGAATACTGAGTGCTATTTGCAGCGCCTCAGTTGGTGCAGTATTCATGGCCCCCGCTGCAGCCCTTAGGTATCCTCCCTGTAGGCTTTTAAGCAGATTCCGTGCCTCCACCTTTTCCGCCCTCAACCACCAGACAACTGCTGCATACGTGAGTCTTGGTAACAATACCATCTTGTATAGCCATAAGGCTGTCCTGAGGTTTAGTCCCCAGTTCTTTCCCATGGCTCTCCTGCACGCCCACATAGAGGTGTAGAATTTCTTCCTCTTTTCCTCGAGGTGTGGTTTCCAGCTCAATTTGGGGTCTAATAGGACCCCCAAATATTTTACTGAATTTACATAATTTATTTCCTTTCCCCAGAGCCTTAATGTCTCAATGGGTTCCGGTTTGTATTTTCTGGTGAAGATCATGGCCGAGGTCTTTGTGGGGTTTACCATCAGTCCCCTCGTCCTACACCAGTTTTGTACAATTTCCAAGGCTTCGTCCATCCGTTCCTTGAGTGTTGAGAGGAAATTACCTCTGGTGATAATGGCCACGTCGTCCGCGTATCCGTAGATTTCGAAGCCTGATTTCTTCAGTTTTGTGAGGAGTTCATCCACCACCAGGCACCACAGCAGGGTGACAGCACCCCCCCCTGCGGGCAGCCCGCCGCCGGCCTCCCCTCAACTGAGTTGTTACCATGATTGACGGTCAGTCTTCTGCCCTTCAACATGTTTTGAGTCCAGTCAATCAGTGATTCTGGAGCGTTAAATCTGTTCATGGCGTCTTTAATCGACGTATTTGAGGTGCTATCAAAAGCCCCCTCAATGTCAATGAAGACACCTATTGCATATCCTTTTGCAGCCATCTGAACTTCAACCCCGCTCACAAGGTGATGCAGGGCAGTATCCGTAGATCTGCCCTCCCTATAAGCGTACTGTGATGGGTTCAGTCGCTTTGCAAGAAGGTAGAAGTCTTTCAGATGCCTATCAATGAGCCTCTCCAGCATTTTTAAGATGAAGGATGTGAGGCTGATAGGTCTGTAGTCCTTGGCCATCACATGGCCATTTTTGCCTGGTTTTGGTATGAATACCACTCTGGTGTCACTCCAGGCTTTCGGAACGTGTCTCAGTGCTATGCTAGCTCTGAGCACCCTCGTTAGGGGGCCTACTAGGGCCCTCCTACCCTCCCTGAGTAGAACAGGGTAGATGCCGTCTGGTCCTGGAGTCTTGTATGGTTCGAAGGTCTTGATAGCCCAAATGAAAAGTCTAAGTTTAACATTAACATGTAAATACAAACAAGTAATGATCTTATAATGAAGGTGTTATTTATTTAATAATATATTTTAGAGAGATAGAACATCGATGTAAATATACTGGAAGAGCACCGTTCGGATACCATCAACAAGAAAGAGAGAATTCATAATAAAGTTGTTAATACTCAACAATAGAAAAAAACATACAATAACGAATCTGAAGGATTCATATCACAGGTAGAACTCACCACCATGTATAATTAACTTTATAATGAATGTACTGTGACGTGACAATTTTTGTCAGTCACTTTTGACAATACTTTCGGGGGAGATCCTGAGTCCTTCGGGCTTAAAAGGGCGAGTGCGCAAGCGAGCGTGCGACTTTATTATTTTTTTGTATTATTTCTGGCGACTAATTATGTATTTCGTATCAT